ATGCAAACATTCCAGTAGCACAGAAGTTTAAAACATTTAGAACATTTAGAACACATAGAACATATAAAATTTTTAGACGATGATCATTACTATTCCAGTTTAAAAGGAAAAGTGGCGGATCACGAGTAAAGGGATACCCAATAAAGAAGACGTTCCACGGTCAATCATAGGCTTAAATAGAAAAGATATTCGGCAATCGGAATTAAAAAAATTGGAGAGGGTTAATTAATTTGCACCAAAATACTTCGACAAACTGAAAATCGGAAATATTACCAAAGAACTATCGAAGGTTAAAAGTACTATTTTTTAAAGTAAAAAGTGTTACTAAATTACAGTTAATTCAAGTTGACGAAAAGTCAACAGATCGAAAAGATGGCAAAGCAAAGATATGCCGGAAGCAATCTTGACAGGTTGCGCAAACCAGAATACTAGTTGAAACCAATAATGGTAATTAATACGACTAAATCGGGCATTCTACTGTATTAATATCGCATGATCAAGCACATGCCCTCATGAAAATAAGTACAATTTAATTCGTTTCCTATTTGGAACCGATTAGATAATCACTAACAATATCCCTAGTAATAGGTTGAATATAGGAATGGCTGTTACAGCAAGCATGACAACATCTTACCAGACACATGGAGTAAATTCGCACCAGAACCCGCCCACCCGTGCTGAATCCTGCCATTTTGTGGTATCTTTAAAACTTCTTGTCAAAGTTGGTCTTCTTTGTGCAGTATGGGAGACCACCGGCTAATGCTAGGGCACAATTTTCGGAATAATACTCATGCAATCAGAAAAATTCAAAACAAACATTAATTTTGAAAAAATTATCTTTATTTCGGGCCGACCAGATATAGTGATGGACTGGTCCTACACACCACGAATTCAGCTGATGACAGTGATACTCGCCGCAATTATCTCGTTTAAGTTTTGTACATTAATTGCACCGTTGTATGCTGCATATTCTCAACAAAAAATCATTTAATAAAGTTTAATATCCGGTGCTATTAGCCAGTTTCTTCCAATTAAGAATATATTTTGTGCATGCAACGTTTTTCGAAACCTCAATCGCATAAGCAGTTCAAAAAATTCGAATCTTTGATGATTCCTTCTAGTTGTGCTTCCGACTTTCGTAACAATTTTTCGACTTTTGGTAACATTTTCATAATTAATAGTCAAATTTTAGCCCATGTCACAAATGCGCCGTAATGACATGCATTAATTATACACTGTGAAACCACGAAATAACGCGCAAGGGTGTAACTCGAATTTTAGCCTAAATTAAGCTTAATTCGCCATTGTCGAAGTTACACCCCTGTGTGTTATTTTACAGCTTAAAGATAATCACAATAAATACAAAACTTTATGCATCTCCATTTTTCACTCACTTGCCTGGCTACTAATAGGTCCAAGGTTGCATATTACTATTACGACAGCACAAAATGGGAGGTGCCTCGCTTTCACGTGATTTTCAGCTTTTCGCTAGAATCGACTACCTGTTAAGTGCTCAATGAAATCTTATATTAGAGATTCACAGAGAAATAGACTAATAGTGTAAATACTGTAAGTAACGGTAACTCAAATCTAATGATTTGACCCTTAATTTGCATTCGACTTGTGCAGTCGAGCTGCTAAACCCAAAAAATAGTTAGGCAAACACTGTAAGTAACGGTAACTTAATTTTAATGATTCGACCCTTATTTTGCATTCGACTTGTGCAGTCAAGTTGCTAAACCCAAAAAATAGTCAGGCAAATACTGCTATCCTGATTTTGCATCCGACTTGTACAGTCGGGCTGCCACAAAGTCTTACAATTCGACTGGTGAGGCCAAGCTGCTACTGACCCTTACTTAAACTATTAAACTACTAAAAAATTGGCCAGAGGTCATAGTGGTTAGGGGTGAGCGGGTGAGGGGGTGGGGAGCCGACCAAGCTAAGGCTTATTAGTCGAGCGCAGCGAAGCAAAAAAAAACAACAAACTGATTAAACGCGATTGCCATGAATACTAATACATAAAATATGCGCACAACAACTACTCTATCAGACTATAGTGATGTATTATGTACGTCACTATTCGTGGTAATCATTTGGTTCGTGACAAAAGGGCTACTCGTGACTTTGTCTCGAGTAGCCTCCAAAACTGGCACACTTATATCATAATTTTAATCCAATTAAATTCAAGGTTTGTACATAATATACATGCTCATGACTATACACTTCGTTTTACCACATTTAATATAATTATTGAAAGACTAATATTTACCGAATAAAATGTATAAAAATAACACATAAACTAATATTGCCTGATCAAAACTCACTCACACCAGAGAAGTCCTTGTTTTTAGACTTAAAAATGTTCTTAGCAATTCCAGCTCAAACTTGAGCATTAATAGCTTTGGACTTAAATGAATAATTAAATTGAAGCAATTAATACAAAAGTTGATACTTAATCCATATTAATCTGTATTTTTGTTTCATAGCAAAATCGGAATTTAAAACATTAGATTACGTTAATTACACACCTGAATTTTTAGTATGCTCTTCATTTTTATTATGGCACGCCACCTAAAATGAGACGTGGTGCATAAGAGTGACCATATTTTTCTATATTTCGCGGAGCTTGTTTATTTTATCATTATCACAGGCTGTATTATTCACATTTTCAACATCTTTAATAAAATTTTTAGCAGAAATAATATTTTTATCTAAAATAGGTAAATTTATAACTTCTTTTATAACTAGTTCATATGAATGTTTGGTATGCATTATGCACGTTTTTTCTCTATCTGAATTCCATATGAATAATTTCGAATTTTTGATGAGATGCGCTTATCACCGAACTATCTTTGTTAATCTTGAATCCTTTTCGAACCTTAATTGAGTCAAATCAAATTCAGCGTTTTGACTAATATATAAATAATTATTACTATCTTTTTTTCGACAACTTTAGAAGGCTTAATTTCGGTTCATCACTTGGTCTAATTGTGGCTTTGCTTATTGAGTATAAGAAACGGCAATTTGGTTCTATATTAAAAGGGTATATATTAAATTAGTACGGTACGGAAACGCAAATTGGGATAGACATGTGGAGACCATGATAGTACGTACGGTTTGTAGAAGAAAAAATTCTTTCGAGACAAGACTAATTTTCCTATAACCTCACGAAAAAAAAAACTATGCTTGCACTTGCCCTAATCTTAAACATTAAAAAAGGATTTACTTGTAAAGGATTAGGTTTCCTCCTTCATTTTGCATGAGGATATGACAAATAATCGGTGTTGCGAGTAAGCATTAGGTAAATAATTATATTAAATGATGCTTATTAGCCACACCCAATGATTTGTCACATCCTTGTGCCAAATGGATAATGGACTTATACATAAAATTTTAATTTTACAAACCTAGGTTAACCTACGTACTATTAAAGTTTTGCTCAGTTTCATACGTCAGTACATATTTGTATAATTGTACAGTACTACTCTACTAACTACCTATACTGTATTAAAATTATCATTAGTATCATTTTAAGTTTAAATTTTTGACTAAAATAATAATCCTTTGATTCAATAACAACTACGGTATAATCGTCCCAATGATAGTTGTCACATTACCGTAACTTACCGTAACTATAGCAAGTAATAAGTTACGGCTATAAGGCCGTAACTTTAATACAGTTACGGCAAGTTACAACTATAATTGGGATGATTTTACTGCATTACAAGTGTTGCATCTAAAGTAGCGATTTATCTAAAGTAGCGCCTGGCTAAAATTAAGCCCCTGAAATTGGATCTTCATGCATGCATTAAGTTATAATTTTAGCCAGGGCGCTACTTTAGATATATAAAGTAGCTACGTACTTTATATAAATTGCTACTTTAGATGCGCCATACATATGTATGTATGTTCGCTAAATGAAAACCGAAAATCCAAAAATAGATATTATGAAATTCATAATTATATTTTTAGATTTTCGGGTTTTCACTTAGCGATAGATAGTAAAGTTTAATGCGTACGCACAGTATTGTTTGTTAGTACAGACTTTCAAAAAAGAAAAATCGACTGAATCTAATGTACATACAGTACGTGCAAACAATAGCAAATATTTAATATATAGTTAATCATGCATTATCGATCCTAGAAGAAATTTTCTATTAACTACCCTAACACTTAACACGAAACCCTTAACACGAAATAAGGATGATTCTAACCCGCATCAAAATCATAACAATCAAAAAATGGTCACTAGTGAAAGTTAAACTTTAAAAATTTATTAATCATGTAGAATTCCGAAAATTATTTTCGTAACTCGCTTTCGGTTTATTTTTGTACGGCGTTACTTTTAAATTAGATAGAAACAGTTATCTAAAAATGCTCTATGATTGCGCTATCGTTATACAAATCCAAATCCGTTTAACGCGTTTAACATAACACTGCACTACTTTGCATCACGTAATCGATAAAATGCGAAATTTTTTTCATGCTATGTAGATGTTTTGAAAGGCACTAAGTGATAGAAAATATGATGAATATAAATTCCTCAAACTTCAATCGCGGGTTAATTATAAACGCACATATAGACATTGAAGATTTGAATGGAGATCCGAAATCTTTTGACAATGAAGATGTGAGTAAGGATTCGAAATCCTTTGTCAATGAAGATATGACTGAAGGTTTGAAATCGTTTGATGATAAAAAAATAAATAAAAATAAGGAATCTTTTAATCAAAAACATATTATTGAGAGTGCTTCACCAAAACACTTTTCTCTATCTTCATCATATGCAGAAGTTTCAACAAATAAATGTAGTAATCTATATAAACGTATAGAAGAAGACAGAATAGATTTACATAAATCATATATAAACTATAGGAAATTAGATAAAAATAAGTCATTAAACACAAAGATGCGAATTATCTTACTATTTGCATTAATACTCACAATTTTTGGAACCTTTTCATCTGCGATTCCAGTCGAAAGGGGAGATGATGAATTCGATGGCTGTGCTAGAATTGTTAAAAACTATATAAATGACTTAAAAGAAAACAAAACCAACATAGTCATAAAGTATAAAGACGTCAAAGATTGTTATTTGAGTTTTCCTTTTGATCTTAAACGAGCCACTCAGGTAAATTTATAATAAAATTAATGAATCAATTTCATATAGCATTCAAAGTGCTGAATGTAATGCTCTAACTGTTGCAGTAATTTTCAATATACTAATTATTATAAAACAGGTCATTGAATCACTCAAAGGAATATATAAAAATTTTTATGTATTTTTGGATAAATCAAAGGAAGAAGCGCAAGATGGTTTTAGTTTCCGATCATTTGATTTAATTACTGAACTTGATTTATTACTTAAGAAAGAATACACCACTGATTTCGAATTTTTTGTATGTAATATTATTTATTTTATGCTAATATGTCAATTTTCTATAATCTAATATAATTTAACATTTAATATTTTCTATAACTAATATACACTATGATAGTCTGATGTCAATCAATTGATTGTTGATCTTAAAGATGCTCATACTAGTTTTTTACCTACTTGCTATAGTGCATTTAATTTTAAACAAAGCATCCTACTTTATTCATCTGTCAACTCTAATGGATATCAGGTAATATATATATAAATTGTTATTTGTGTGAATTGTTATTGTAATTTGAGTGAATTGTTAATTTGTAATATTTAATTAATAATAGGCTATTAAAGTATTTTATGACAGTCAAGATCGCTCAAATGTTGGATGTGAAGTCACACATATTGATGAGTATCCTGCTTTGGATGTAATTACTGAATTTGCCAAAAAATATATTAAAAACTCCCGTGATCTTGGTGTAAGATTTAATATGGCATTAGCTTCACTTAAGCTCAATTATACCAATTACGCTGTTATTAATGGTAGTTTTGCATTACGCACGAATTTACCAGAAAAAGAAAGTGTTATCTATAATCTTAAATGTTCTAAAGCCACAAAAAAGCTTGAAAGGCCTTGGATAATAACTTTTAATAGTGATCTCAATGTGACTTTTACTAATTTTACTGATTCAAAAAGTTATTATAGTAATGTCTGTCTCATGAAAAATGTTTCTCAATCAACAGTTCCTAAAAAAGCTTATATTTTAAACTTACCTATTGAACATTTAGAACAAGTTGAGATTAAGTTATCACTTAATGATGTAAATATTTCGTATATTGGTGATTTTGCTGCTGTTTATAAAATTGGTGAACTTGGTGTGTTTGTGATACCTAGTTTTGAACCTAATAGCAATGATACTGATATAATACTGGGGCTTACTGCTAAATTTGATTCATTCGCCAAGTCTGGAGTAAAAAAGGCATGTAATTTTTTTTATTAACAAAATAAATACATATGATTAAATTTCTAATATTTTAATAATATATATTATACAATAGATTGTCTTAGACTTTACTAATAATGATGGTGGATACGTAGTACTTTCACAATATGTTAATAATCTCTTCTTCCCACAAAAGAGGGCTGCATTTCCACGTGATATTAAAATTAATAATATTATGACATTCTTTATTAAACAAGCCGAGAAATTAAACCTTTCCATAGCAGATATTACTCCTGTAAATACTTTATCGTACTCTACTTATAAACCATTTAATACTTCTGATGAATATATTGGCAACAATCAATTTACAAGAGGTGGTGTAACTACAAACTATTCTAATTTATTTAATGAAATATATGAAAATTCAACCCTTTTGGATTTTTTATCAACTTGGAAGTTTCCATGGTCGAATAAAGATGTTATTATACTTACTAATGGTGCTTGTGGATCATCTTGTGCTCAGACAACTCAATATCTGGCAGAGCAAGCTAAATTTTCTACTGTTTCTGTTGGAGGGTTATTTAATCGTAACATGTCTTATAGTTCATTTCCTGGTGGAAGTGTTATTGCTGTTAAAGATTTCTATAATGATTTAGCTCCTATCTTAACAAATACTTCAATTAATCTCCCTGAAATTCCTAAAAATTTTGCCACTGAGATTTCAATGAAGTCTCTTAGTTTCTCATTTAGTGAATCTTATAGTATAGCTTTTCCGAACAATTTAACTGAATTTATGTATAGACCTGCTACTTATAGATTATACTATGATGAGAAAAGCATTTTTGATCCTAGCTTATTATGGCTTCAGGCTGTGAAATTAATTTCTTAATTTTTTTAGCTTAATTATTTTATTATAACCACTTGTTTTATTTATTATTATTTTTATTTTCGTAAAAATGAGAACGATCTTTAAAATTGGTACGAAAAGAATTATCGGGTAAATAGTTACAAAAAGTATTATAATAAAAATAGAACAGAAAAGAAGAATAGTGGTAATAAGAAAATGTGTATCGAATTTTTAGTATGTAAATGAAAAGTATATAAGCGAAACCATTTCATTTGCTTTGAATAAAGATAGCTTTCAGCTCTGATAACTCTCGAATCACGATTCGGTTAGAGTTCACCTTGATAAGTGTTGGCTCTCCTAATCCCCCGATAAGTAAAATCTGTGGTGAAATCACGAAGTATATGGTGTTGGGTTCGGAAGATTGCGACTCAGTCGCTCCACAATCCAATATCTCGCGTAATGTACGATAAGTAACCTTTTCGAAAGAGGGTGTTAGATTTGGCTAGTGGGCGATTAAGGCTTTCGGTTACTTTGGGTCAACGAATGCAAGTAGGGTAAGTCACGTGAACAAGAACTCGATCGAACAACGATGGTTATTGGGTTTTACAGGATTTATGCCGGGTAAAGTGTTAGGGTTTTTATTATGGACGATACAATGTATTGGGACTTGTTTATTATTTAATAAAGCAAACGAAGCGTACTGCTCCTAAGGGCCATTTCGGTCTTTATTTATAATATAAAATTCGTCGCTTACAAATGCGACTTATCTATTAAAACTAATTAAACTATTTACATGTATTTATTTAATATCCGTTATTTCCTCCCTTTATTCTTTATCTACCCCTTCAGTTCCGTAATACTGTGTCCGATCTTAAATGTAACTTATTACACTTATTACATTTATTGTACTTATTGCACTTAATGCATTTCGTGCATTTTTCACGTGATCAGTCACGATATTCAGTATCACAATTTCTGATATCACATTTCCCTCCTGCTTAGGTCATGCATACTATGCTTGACTTTCTTACATGATGATCGTGGGTCATTGACAGGGCGGAGTACTGGAATAATATCAATAAAGAATGAAATTATTATGTCATCTATGATCACATTTAACATAATATTCTTTTTTATATAAAACCAGATTTTTTTTTTTTTTTTTTTTTTTTTTTTAATAATAATACTATATTTAAGACAAAACCAATTGCAAGCCACATGACATGACACTTAATTTGAAATAACTCAAGACAAAATCAATTGCAAATTACTTAATATGAACTCAATTTGAAATAACTTAAGACAAACATTCACATCCAAGATGAAGGGTTTAACTCTTGCCATACATCCTATCTCAAGCATACAACTGTCATATACAACTAGAAACAAAGACAAGGGGTCAATTACAGTGTTCTTCTTCAAAGTCATATATTTGATTACATGAGTCACCTGCTGATAAGTATTAAAGAACTTCATTTTTATTACTGTTTATTTGCTCAATTCAATTCTTCTTGATATGTTAGCTTTTGTTCTGTTTTATTAACTTTATATTCTTTTCTTTAGTAAATTGAGATCTTCATATCAAGACCTCCCTCAATGAATACATTTTGGGGTCCTTTTTATGTTCTTTATATTTTTTCATGGACTGTTTAATGATTTTATTGGATGCAATAACAAGCATCAAGCCCTGTAATAATATGAATTCAACTTGGTTCAATTCATCTTTTTTTTTCAACAGGGTTGAATTTTCCATTTGTATTACCATGTGTCACATGTTCTGCACCTCTTTCACATGCTTCATCTTTGTAATGATATCAGGTTCAATTAAATAAAGATCTTTCATCATTTTTATATTATCATAAATCAACTTTCTAAACTTATTTACCCTTCTGTTCCAATCTTTATAGACTTTATTTAATATAAAATATTAATTATCTTTAGCTAATTTTGAGTACTGTTTCAATACTGGTTATTTATCTTATTTAACACTGATTTCTTTTTTATGATAATAGTTAACAGAAAATATTTCATAATCTTTATTTGAATTGGCAGATTTTCTATAATATTTAAATACCTTATATTCATCTATTTAAACTCTAATTTCTTTATATCCATCCTTTTCAATTACAATTTCATTTTCATAATGATAGTTGATGTCAAAGGTTTTTTTTACCAAGTTTCATGTCAAAGGCTTTTTGAAAATATTCAAATGTCTTTTATTTGTCTTTTTTTATTCTAATTTCATTATTTTCAGTATCAGTTTCATTTTGATAATGATACTCATGGTTAACAGTTCAGGTTCTTCAATCTGAAATGCTTTTAAATATCTATTAATTAGTTTTTTTAGAGGAACCTAAGTATTAGTATTATCATCTTCTACTTTCAAGACAAGATAAAGATTAAGTACTTCATTAATTAAGTGTTTCTGATAACAGAATAGTGTTAAGAAAGTTTTTGAACTTGGAATTACTAGAGACACAGGTAAGACACCTTCTTTTTCTACAGGTAGGTTAATCAGATATATGAAGATAAGTATATAACATCTTTTTTGTTATTATTATCTAGATTATTATTCTAACTAATATCTGTTAATATTTCAAAAAAATATTCTAGAGCTTGGAGATAATAAAGACTATAGTCTCTTATAGTCTCATTAACTATTTTCTGAATTTTCACAGCTTATTATTTGATAAGTATATTCAATAATTCTATGTATTTCAGCTGCATCATTCTTATTTTTAGACAATTATTAATATTATAATTTTCTTTTTTACAATAGGAACATATAATTCTTTTTTGAAGACCTTTTTGAATTAGTTCATTTCTTGAGGAGGTTTTTCAAACTTGCTGTCATTAAGGTACTTTTATTTGGGTTCTGTTTTGCTAATAATTTAGATTAGCAGTAATTGGTTTATAAATTTCATATATTTTTTTGTCATAGGTAAGTACTAATCTTCTTCTTGAGTCTTTTTTTAAATCTATTCTCTCACTAACTCTTATTATTCTTATACTTAAAACTACAGCTCGGTCTTTCTCTTAGACCTCAAACTGGAATTCAATTACTTCAACTGTTCATAGTATATTGAAAAAGTTGAAAGCAGTAACAGTAGTTCTCAGTATATAAAAAATCAACTGAACACTTATACTAAATGTCTTAACCTGGAATTATCTTACATCAAATCAGAGTTGGCACTCTTTTTTTTAGGTTAAGTTTTATCTTTTTTTCTATTTTTAGTTTTTCATACTTATAAATACTAACTAAAACTTATATTAATTCTTTTCTTCTACTACAGCTAGGATTACAGTACATTGAAACAGGCCAGAACTTCTTCTTGCTAATTCATTTTTTTCTCAAATCAGGAGAGAGAAAGTAGTGAATATTATTTTCAAATCTTATAGTTATCACTAAAATGTTAGGTTTGGAAGATTACAACTCTGTTACTTTACAATTCAAAATGTCACATAATATATAATAAGTAATCTTTTTGAAAGAATGTATTAGATTTGGCTAGTAAGTGATTAAGACTTTTAGTTACTTTGAGTTAATGAATACAAATAAATAAGTTACATAAACAAAAACTCGATTAAACAATAATAGTTATTGGGTTTTATAAGATTTATGTCAGATAAAGTGTTGGGGTTTTATTATAAATAATACAATATATTGAGACTTGTTTATTATTTAATAAAGCAAATAAAGTATATTACTCCTAAGAGCCATTTTGGTTTTTATTTATAATATAAAATTCATTGCTTATAAATATAACTTATTTATTAAAACTAATTAAACTATTTATATATATTTATTTAGAATCTGTTATTTCCTTCTTTATTCTTTATCTACTCCTTCAGATATGAAATATTTTCTCTGATCTTAAATGTAACTTATTACACTAATTATATTTATTGCACTTATTACACTTATTGTATTTCGTACATTTTTCATATAATCAATCATAATATTCAGTATCACAATTTCAGGTATCACAATAGTTATATAGTAATTTAAATGATGTTCATCTGAAAAAACTTATGAATAACTGAATAATGCATTAAATAAGATCCTATAAACAAAATCATGAATTATCAATTTGTCACAAGATCATATATGATAGAATTGACAATTGCCAGTTATGATAAATATATAAAAGAAGAATTAATGAAATAATATTGAAGTAAATATGAAGTAATACAAGAAAAAATATGTGTATATAAATATTATATCAAATAATAATAGTTATTTAGAGTATATAGTAATAGGCATTAGACCTTTTTCTTTTGTCTTTATTGCTAGCTTAATTAAAAGTCTAGCTTTGTAGTAATTTACACATAGTTAACAAGTAAATTTAGACAATAGAAAGCAAGTTTTAAGAGGTGTGTCTAGAGATAAAGCTTATTTATGATAAGAGTTAAAAAATAGTTTAGAGTATAAAGGTAAGAGTAAACTAGAAGAATAATTATAAGATAAATTAATAAAAGATGTAGTTTGAGACTATGCAGAGTGTAAAATACAGTATCAAATTTATATATATTTATATATTTGTTAGTTTAAGTAAAGAAGAAGTTTGGGTGTACTAACCTAGTAAAGTAATCAGGTTGTCAACTCCCAAATAGTAGGTCTAGAGTTCAAATCCTGATAGATGATAAATTTTAAAAATAGGACAGTATTATGATAACTATCTATGTTGATCAGTTGGATTAGTGTATCTGTAACCTTTAGTTATACCATCTTAAATGAGAGCTTGAGGCATTAATGCTAAGTATAATATTACACTCACATAGAGGAATATATAACCAGTATTGCATAAGATTTTAGTGCAAACCCACAATAAGATCACCAGACACAGAAAGCAAAAGAACTGAAGAGTCAGAAACCTACTTGGAAATCCTGAGTAAGGAGATAGCACAAAACTTTTAATAATGCTGTCAGACTAATAGAAGCTCATGAAACACTCCTAAAGGGATAGGTAGATAAACTGAATAGCAAGATGTTTAGAACAACACATAACCAACCAGGCTGCCAGAATCACTAAAGAAAAAGAATACTAAGATATACTATACTGGGCTATCTGAATTGGAAGTCTGGAGAGTCCTGTTGGTTCTAAGTAGTGGTTAGTAGGGAATGATGAAGAGGATGTTGAAAAGATAGATATCAGGGTTTGGGTGAACCTTACAAGGATAAAAGCAGTTTAATGATCAGCTCTGACTACAAGTAATAGTTTAGGCCAAAGCATGACTGGATGAGCTGTAAGTATGAAATACAAAATGCACTGATAGGTTTAGTACAAAGTTAAATATGACTTAGTGAACATGGCATATCTTTACTAGTT